GGCCCGTTCAGGTCCGGGCGAGGAGGTTGGTGAGTGATGGTGTGCCCGGATTGGGAGCGTCCCGTTGACGGTGGGCACCAGGGTGATGTCGCCCTTGTGGATATGCCGTGAGGGCTTTTTAGGGTGCTGTTGGTAAGTAGACTCAGCCACCCTGCAGTTGTATGAGCGAGTGTCCTTCTTTTCACGTGAGCAGCGGAGGGCAAAGGCCACCATGATGAGAAGCAGAACGGCGCAGATCGCACTAAGGGAGATGATGATGATCATGGACACATCTAGAGGGCCATCTCCACTTCCTCCACCTGTCAGATGGGGGTTCATGTGGTTCTCAATGTTTTCATAAAGCGAAAGTCTCAGTAGGGCTCTGGCGCTGAGGGGTTGAGCACCATGGTCCTGCACTAGGATGGTCAGCTCCACGTGATCCTGTGGAATGTCCTGCATGCTGACGTTGGTCCGAATTTCACATGTTTTAGCATCCATAGCGAAGTAACCTGCCTCATTGCCCCCTACTACAGAACACGAAAGGTCACTATTGGAGCCGGCATCATAGTCTATCGCATGGACAATAGTTAACACGTCACCGACCTCTGCGTATTTGGATACTGGAACATCAACCGTGTGGTTCCACAGCTGAGGCATTGTGATGACCGGTCTGTTGTCGTTCTCGTCCAAGACGGTCAACACAACGGTCACATTACTACGCAGTGGAGGACTTCCAGAATCCCGGGCCTGGACTAAGAACGAGATCTGACTCACATCTTCACGATCAAAGGTACGTAACGCATAAATGTTTCCATTAGATGGGTCAATGGTGACGTAAGTGGAGATGGAGCTCCCATGGACTGTACATTCAAGTATAGAGTAGCTCACTTGACCATTCGGGCCCAGGTCTGGATCTGAGGCCCTCACAGATGACAGATAAGCTCCTGGTGAGTTGTTCTCTGCCTTGGAAATCTCATACCTGCCCTTCTCAAACTTTGGCGTGTTGTCATTCTCATCCTGGACCTGCACAGTGAAGTGTTTGATGGTAGACAGACTTGGAGAGCCTTTGTCTTCAGCTATAACAGTCAAGCTGAACTCGGACCTCTTCTCTCGGTCTAAACTGACATTTGTAAGGATCATGTAGTTCTTCTCATATGTCTTTTGCAGCCTGAAATGACCTTGGCCGTGGAGACGGCACTCCACCTCTCCATTCAACCCAGAGTCCAGGTCATCCACCCTCACCAGAGCCACAAATGTATCTACAGGAGCTGTCTCTGATATATAAGCTATCTCCTCATTCCCAGTGGACATCAAATTGATACTAATGTCAGGCTTGTTGTCATTCAAATCCACCACTTTTATTATGACTTTACAATGTGCTGGCATTGAATTGGGACCCATGTCTTGAGCTTGAACATCTATGTCATACGAATTTGTGCTTTCAAAGTCAACTTTCCTCATCAGTGTCAAATGACCATTATCAGAATTAATCTTGAAAGTCTCTAAAATGTTAGGTGACACGTGACTGCTAAAAGAATATACGATTTTCCCATTGGTCCCTTCATCTGGGTCAGTGGCATTCAGATCAATAAGCAAACTGCCTAAAGGAGAATTTTCAAGCAAGTTGATCACATAAGATGGCTTCTCAAACACAGGATTGTTGTCGTTAGAGTCAGCTATGCTGATTTTCAGGAGCGTTGTTCCAAATTTTGGGGGAACGCCCCTGTCTGAGGCGGTAAGCTGGAGTTCATAGCTCGCTCGTACCTCTCTATCCAGCTCTTTAAGCACAACGAGCTCCGCGTACTTGGCGCCATCGGTTCTGGTTAGAATATCAATCATAAAAAAATCAGACGGAGTCAGAGAGTATGTGTTCAGAGAGTTCTCCCCGACGTCTGGATCGATGGCGCTGTCAAGGGGAATGCGCGTCCCCACGGCGGCGGTTTCGGAGATCTCTATGGGAATGACGGGGCGGGCGAACTGTGGCGCATTGTCGTTAATGTCCAGAATTTCCACGTCGATGTGGAACAGCTGTAGGTGCTCCGTGGGGAGGGTGAGGACGTCAAATTCGATAGTGCAGTTGAGATTCTTCTCGCACAGTTTCTCGCGGTCTATTTTGGTCCTGATGCTGATCTCTCCATCCTGGTCGCGCACGGAG